ACATCGAATGGAACGGTAATACCTTCGTGCACTTGTCTCATTCTCACCCAATATATATATATATATATATATATATATATATATGTGTGTGTGTGTGTGTGAAAACTAAACCATGTTCAACCTTTGGTGAAAGACTTTAACCTCGGCGTACAAAGTTGAAAACATTACGAAAAATATGATGTTTTATGACTCTAATTATCCAAACTTTATTGGACTTATAAATCAATAGAGTTATTAGTGGAAGCGTGTTATTATATGGTATGTTTTTAATATTAAACAAATGTTCCTTTTCCCATAATTACTTGACAATGGACACACGATGGTGTTCCTTGAAATCCGCCTGACTTTCATACAGATCGAACCTTGATTTAATATGTTTCCCATTTCTTTATATATACTTTTAAATAATCACGTCCTCCTGTGCATTTGAATAAAAAAGGGCGCCCCAGTTTACAAGATATTTTGCGTTCGCACAGAATTCGGTGAAAGGTCGTATCCCGAGCGATCGTCCTATAACTTTGAATCTTATATTTAATTTCGTTTCCATATAAAATTATGAGTTTAAGTGACACTAATAATTTGTTAGACAATCACATAAAATTGACCTACAATATAACTCTTCATATTATTAAATTACAATTTATATAATCAATGTATATAACTTAAATTCTAAAAATTATATTGCGCCAACTTGAGATTTGAACCTTGGACTAAAGTAACTGCGTTTGTTTTACATTATTAATGCATATAAGTTAATTCTAAAATCAGAAATTTGAACCTTGGACAAAAATTACTACGGAGTATTTGTTTTCTGAATATTTGCAGACATTAACTATCCGTTGTCTTGCATGATAAAATTGGTAAGTCAAACTTTACCATAGCAGTCTTAATGTCTAAATCATATCTACCTATTAGATTGGTTGGTTGTTTCACTCATATAATAATATTTGACATTAAGATTTTATTTAGTTGTTATAAATAAATTGTCCATAAATATCATCTTTTCAAAAGTTTATGTTACAAGAGATAAAAAGTATTAAAGTTTAAACACTGGAAAAATAATCATATTTTGCTAATTAAAATTATTCTATCTAATATATACAGTATTTACAAATTCATAACAAGTTGTATATATATGTATAAAAATTTAAACTTTTGGGCACACAAAGTTTAAAACTAGGTACTTTTGTTTTTAAAGAGATAGCTTAACATTAAAATCCCATATGACATGACTGATAATGGAAAATGACAGAATTGGCTGAAGAAATGTAAGACTGAATGGTTGAAAAATTAACAGAAAACAAAAAGTCCATAGACATAACATATCAGCAACTAGGCGTGCATGTGGACCGAGTTAATTCGTTTTTTATCAAAATCAAACCAAACCAACTATATCGGTTTAGATTGATTCAGGTTTTTCAAACTTTTCAATTTTTTTGTTGCAAGAATATTATTTCAATCTCACCCTTACATACAAC